GAGCTTTTAAATATATATAATTAAATAAGTCAAAAGCTCTTATTCTAATAAAAAGTAATGCAATATAAGGTATAGATAGAAGTTGTAAATCATCATTCTTAAATAAAAGGTAAACATGGTAAATAAAAAAACTTTTAAAGAACTGATAAAAATATAATTTAAAATGTCCGTCTAAACAAACTCAAAAATAATTTTTAAATTAAATAAATTAAGATCTCATTTACTTCGCAGATTTGAATTTTTAATTCAAGTTGAGATGTGACATTTTTTGAGAGCTTTTTACTGTAGTAGAAAAAATTAAATATGACATTTTTTAAGAACTTTTTATTATAAAAATTTAAAACTGAAAACTCGAATCGATGAAAAAAATGAGACCTAAGAAAGATTTTTTTAAGGCAATACAAACAGGTTTGAAATCGGTTTGCAGCTGGCTCATGACATTGAATTAATTATGGGTTTAGTGGGTCAGCAGTTTGTTTGTTGGTAGATCAACCTTGCAATAGGCCTGCCGGGTCCTTTTTCGAAAGGGAACATGGAGTCAAAATCATTGGTACTATGGTATAGTTTTTTTTTTTTTTGAAAAAAAAAATGAAAAAAATAGTCAAATCGTTGTGTATACTTGTGAAGGAAACAGATCTCACAACCACGATACATCGTCTCTAGAACCGAGAAACCGATCAGATATGGATTTTGATGAGCAAAATATTTAAACAATTGGGAAGATCAAAAAATTTTGAGCATAACAAAGGGAACAAAATTCGAAACAAGTCTACGTTTTTTTTAGTAAATGACGAAGTTATTAGACCCAGTTAATATATTCTCAATATGATTTATTAGAATAATAAATAAATAAAAGCTCCTCAAGCAAAAGATCCAACAAAAAGCAGAGAAACAAGTACTCAAAAAGATAAAAGCTGGTTTTGTCAAAAAAAGAAGAAGATAAAAGCTGGTTATGTAGCTTCAAAAGCGAGCTAGAAGGTTTGTGGAATAGATCACAAATTTAAGACTTTATTGAAACCTTCCGAGTTGTTAAAGAGAAAAACAAGAAAAAAAAAAAAAACAATACTAATTCAATTTCACCCAGAAAAAAAGGGAAAGAAAACAATACTCTTTTGATATTACGTGGGATATGTGTTTTTCTTCCTCAGTTTCTTTTCTTTTGGGTTGATATGTTTAGTATGATGGATAGAAAAGAGAAAAAAATGAGAAGTAAAATGAGAGAAAAGGGATTTTTTTTTTTTGGCTCAAAAATAGAAGAATGGGGATTTTTTTTCGTGTTGTTTGGTATAAGAGAAAGAAAATAAGAAAATATTAAATTTAGTGCATTTATAATAATACCCCGATAAAAATATGAGGAATGATTATGGTTAAAATAGTTATTTTACGTCTCATTTGTTTGTCAAATTTTTTCTTTCTTTTTTTCTTTGTAAAGTTGGAAAGATTAAAGGGTGGGTCACGTGGATTTTCATCTTGTTTCCTTTCTCATTCTTTCTACCAAACAATTTAAAATTTTATTTTTCTCTCTAAAATCTTTCCTCTAATTAATTTCTGATCTCTCTCTTTTCAAGTCTGCCAAACACACTGTGAACCGTAAGAGATTTTAACTTTGAATGTAAATTAAGTTAATTAGGAGCTAGGTTGTTGTTCTATAAAAGTAATGATCATATGACTTTCTAGTGCAATATTAATCCTTATAGTGAAGTACCATTATATTACTTTCCATGCCTCTCTTTCTTGGTCTGAACTCCGAAAATGTTTGCCGCCTGCAGTCTATTCCCTTTAATCTGTACGTAATTTCTGAAATTACTTGATGATGACATTAATATTTAGACCTAACCTTCATTAACTAAATAGGTTGTGTTTTTATTTCTAGCAATCCCTTGAGTATGGTGGAGCCACGCTCCCACAGAAGAAGGTGGGCAGCCGTCTCGCTTATTGAACTCTTTTTTTTTTTCTTAAATTGTATATATAAAACTTTATAAATTTTGTATTTTCTCCTCATAAAATTTTACATCTCTTTATTTACCCCCACTTTATTAGTCTAGTTCTGCCCCCGTCTCTTAATTATTTATTTATTCTCGTTTATTTTGTTGATTTAAATTTTTAATTTGAATTTATATGTGACTTTATGTGAAAATTTTTTATTATAATAAAAAAATTAGATGTGATTGTTTCTGAGAGTTTTTTATTATAAAAAAATTTAAATTTTAAACTCAAATCGATTAAATAAACAGGGCTACTAACCTTCGTAAATAATTAAAGAGGTTAGTACGTTGTATATGTTTGTAAGAGGTCACTTAAAAGGGACTTTCGGAAAGAGACCATTTAAGAGAGAAATTCAATTCTATTTTATTGAAATTAGACAGCAAAATCTCCCCTAAAAAAAAATAAAATAGAATGAGAAACAAAAAGAAGATGCCAAGTCCCACACTTTTTTTATTCGTACGAGACCAATCCGTTGCTTCCTTCAATTATTTCTTCTCTTATCTTTTTTGTTTATTTATATAAATATGTATAATCGGAAAAAGTTTTTAAAAGTTTGTATGATAAGAATAATGATCATGAAAGACATTACTGAATTATTTGTTCTTTTCTGTCGAACCGTACTGAATTATTTGGAACTAGAAAGATTACCAACTCCTTCAAAAAAAGAAAATAAAATATTAGGAAAAAAATTCAATCGTCATATTTATATTAACTATGATTAAAAATTAAATTAAATTAAAAATATATATAAATATGACGATTAATAAACAAAAAATTCAAAAAAAAAAAGAAAAAAAATTACTAACTCTTCCTCCGAATTCTTCCTTCCTTCAATGCTTGCGTGCGTGGAATTCACGTCACCTACCTAACTGTTCTTGTGATCTTCTAAATAATGGCATAACGCCCAAATATAGAAACAAATTATCTTTAAATAATTTTTGGACTTGCAATTCAAATCCTCGTAAATTATTGCATAATTTTTATGTATTCTTTTTATAATTTAAGTCATAATTTAAATTTTTTCATATAAGAGAAAAATTATAATAAAAAAATTTAATTTTAGTTTTTTTATTAAAAAACACTATAATAAAAGAATTTAAATTATGATTTGAGTCGTGGAATAACTTATAAAATTCAACATATTAGACCGCATGTTAGAGATACGTAATAAATGTATTATGCATCTTACCTCCATCATATCAAATATTGTTACTTTCATTTTATATAGGTGTATTTTGAGTTTATATTAAAAAAAAGTAAACATTGTATTTTGATGTTCTCAAATTATATCTTTAATTTTCAAAGTTTATAAAAGGAATAAATTTATGAGAGGTTTTTGAATTCTTTTCTCTCTTTAAAATTAATCCTTATACTTAATATTGTCTCGTAAATAGTTCCTAAATTAAGAAACTGTATTATAAATAGTCCATCTATTAAGTTTTTAAATGAAAACCGTTAAATTGGATGAAAGTGTATGGTTATTATGATATTTTATAAGGTTAATAATGCCTTTTATACTCGTTTGTACTATTTAAAGGTCCTTGAGTATTTTTCTCTCTAAAATTAGTCCTTAATTTTTTTTTTTTCTAAAATCAATCCTTAAGTTTTTTTCTCTATAAACATATAGAAATTCCCTCAAATGGAATATCAATTTCAAAACAAAAATATAGCACCTTATATGGGTTACCAACCATGATATTATTTGTAATATACCCAAAAATATCAAATAAAAAAGACAGCTACAATCTGTTTATTTAGGAAAAAAAAAATAACAAAATCAAAAAATCAAAAGAAATCAATTGATCCACATGCACAACACCATAGAAAACTCTAAAATTTAACCATTGACATCAAGAAATGATAAAACCTTGTAGAGAAACTTGGGATTTTACTCCTCAAATAATAATAAAAAAAGCTAGAATTTTTAATTGAATCACGCTTGATCAACAAAAATAATTACGCTTACTAACAACGTTCATGTCCAGACCCTTTCTTATTTTTTGTAGTTTTACTCCGAGCAACGTAATAGAATCAAAACTTTGATCATGCGATAGAATCAAACTAGGATGAAAGAAATTTTAGGTGGGCTTGATTTTAATTTAGAAAAAGTTGTGGTTGAAGGGAATTTTATTAGGTTTAGGTAATATTATGGAAATAACCATCGTGTACATAGCACGTGATGTTTTTTATCCAAATAGTTGACGGATTCTAACAGAGGGATTAATTCTAAAGAAAGAAAAAAATTCAACAACCTCTCATGAATTTATTCCTTTATAAAAGCCTCAAATAAAAATTAACTATTATTTTAATATATTTATTTACGTGGTGTAATATGTATGACTAGTTACATACTATTTAAAACACCACAAATAACAAAAAAAAATATAAATTCAAAATATTATTTCCCATTATTTAGAGCTTTTTTTTTTGTTGCTCAAGGATGTACAGCTTAAATTAGGAGCAAATATTATCCCCGTTTATTTTACTGATTCAAATTTTGTTACAGTAAAAAAATTTTATAAATAATTACATTTAATTTTTTTACTACAATAAAAAACTCTCATATAAAATTTTATTTTAACTCAAATTAAAAATTTAAATCAGTAAATCAGGGCATTGTTCCTAGAAAATGCCTTTTAACTCAGCCAGAAATTAGTTTAGAAGAGACGTTCATTCCAAGATTATTCTCTTATCTCAATTCGGATATAATTTAGATTCTGCACGGCTCTACGCGCTTCTCCAAACGCGCGTAAAGACATCACAAAATAGTTTACTAAAATTATGAGGCGGTCGTTTGTTCGCCAGAGAGAACTTGAAAGAAGATAAGGGACCACGTCATATGGTCCCACATTATCACCACCACAGAATTTCATATCCACTCCAATCCACATTGAATGTTCCGCACGCGCCACTGCTTCTCTGTGGGCCCATCTCCTGACGCTTTTTATCTCACCTTTTGTTTTCTTTGATCGATATATAACTTAACTTTTCTCTCAATCCAACGCCAAAAAAGAAGACGTCCTTGAAAAGCAAAAGGAAAACACAGATAATTACACCGCCGCTTCCTTTTTTTCTTCTGAGGATCTGGACAAGTATTCCCGAGAAACAAACAAAAGCTCTGCCAATTAGAACTCTCCACTTCTATCTCTGTATCTGAATAACAAGGAAAGAAACCCTTTCCAATCAAGCGAACGCCAGTTGGATAGAGTTTTTGGAGTTCTATTCTATCCATTTGCCTCGATTTTAGAAAAAACGCAGAAAATTTTCTAGATATTTTTTGCTTCTCCGTACAGGATTTTTCATTTTATCGGGAAGAAAAAAAAGGAAGGAAAAGGAAAGAGAGATGATGAGAAGGCAGCAAGATCAGCAGTCCGGGGTTTTATACGAGCTCTCGTCTCTAGTTCTCAACATCCTTCGATCGCCTCCGTCTCCGATCCCGTTCTCCGATCACTCTCTACCGGCACCGGCGCCGGCGTCGGTGCAGTCGTCGAGGCGTTCGTTGCAGCAGATCTCGCCGGCGGGATTCGCTTCGCTGCTGCTAGGGATTTCGCTGGCGCTGATGCTGTGTGGATCGGTGACTTTCTTCATCGGATTCATACTGATGCCGTGGGTTCTCGGATTGGTGATGGTGTTCTATGTGGCCGGAATCGTTTCGAGTCTCTCCATGTTGGGACGCTCGCTTCTTTGTTACGCCACGGCTCCTTCCACGCAGCGAAAGGAAATTCCCGGTACGGTTGATCGTTTGACTTTTTTCGTTTTGGCTGGATAGTTGATCGTTTGACTTTGAAAGCTTGAGTTTTTATATCTTTCTTCTTTTTGTCTTCTGCTAATCATGATTTGTGTTTCTTTGACACGAACTAGGAATGAAATGATTTTTGTGGTGCTAAATAATTTTTCTTTTCTTTTGTTTTGCTTAGAAATTAGTAAAGAAGAAAAAACTTCCTCTTTTGGAAAAAAAAAATTCCTTTAGTTTTTGGTATCTTAAACTGATTATGGATTGGCTTTCCTCCATATTTATTTGCAATATTTGTCTGTTTATTCCTTTTCAATTCCATATTTCTCTGTTTACAAAGTTATCTGTATCTCTGGGTTCAAAAAAATCCCTGCTTGTCCTAAGCGCTAAACGAGTTTTTCTTCATCAAGAAATAAGAGTTTCAGTAATCGTGTCTTGAAAGTAAGATATAATCTTTTTAGAAGTAAATAAGTTACCAGAATTTTATCAGGTATGATCACGTGACATTCATAGTTCATACCAAGTATGATCATTCTATGTATCAGGATGTAAAGTATCTGTTGAGACGATTAAATCTCATTCTTTCTCCTTAAAACAAAAAAACAAAAGAAAACATTGTTTCGAGTAGAATTGAGCTTGTCTCCCCTGTTTCTATTGCATTTAGGCGAATTATGTAAAACAAAAGATGACCATGAAAAAGTATATAAATGTTTCAGGGACTAATCCTGATTGTCATACTGTCCATGAAAAAACAGAAACCGTTAGTGGAAGTAGCTCCCCAAAATATCATATAATTAGTATATAGAAATTATGGCCGGAATTGATTTTGTTTTTATTTTTTTACGTTTTTTGAGAAAATAAAAAATAAAAACGTTTTTAAAATGGCGTTTGGCGCAGATAAAAAATAAAAATAAAAATGATTTTTTAATTTAGTGTAAAATGAGAGAAATGAAAAATGACTTTTAGCCGTTTTTTATTTTTTATTTTTGTTTTCTCCTCTCTTGAGCTGAGAGAGAGAGAATGATAGACATTAATGAGTTTTTTTACACTAAAAATAATTTCTTGATAAAACTATTAAACGCATTTTAAAATAATTTCGGTCTGAGATTGAAAATGTTTTCATTTTTACTTTCATATAAAAAATAAAATTATTTTAAAATGAGTTTCAAACACGCCTTATATGTTTGATTATTTGGTCATAATTGTTCCAACAAGTGGGCTGAGAGGCGAATATAGCATGACTCGGTACTCTAACGCTGCTTGTATGTGGAAGAGCTCAACTAAGTTGAGTGTCAAGAATTTAATGCTAGGCTTGCGAAACAATCTTAGATTTCGTTTATTTCATTAATTCGAGTTTAGAATTCGAGTTTTATTACAGTAAAAAACTCTTAGAAACAGTCATTTTTAACTTTTTTATTACAGTAAAAAGCTCTCACATAAAGTCACATCTCAATTCAAATTAAAAATTTAAATTAACGAACTAAACGGGTTCTTATGCTTAATAACTTAAGTGATCAAGTACAAAGCCGTTGAATAAGGTACGTTTATCTGCCCTGGAAAAAAAAAAAAAAAAGGTAAAAAAAGGACTAAATGTCAATTAAAACAAAAAAGAAAAGTTTTGGCAACCTCTCCCTTTGTTGATCAGTCGCATTTCCCCATAATAGAGACTTCTAGTCTGCAGAGTTTTCTGTTATATCTTGCTTTTTTGCCCTATTTTGAAGATGCTCATCGACTCTTCTGTTGATCTTTTTGAGTGCAGCATGGAAAGTTTTGTAAAGACAAGGACGAGGGTGAGTCAGAGAGAGTTGAATTGAGCTTTGTGGGGAGTGGATGAAGCAGCACAATATTTTGTTGTGATTGGTTCTGCGTCTAGAATATATGCCAAACTGAAGTTATAGGATCTTCTTCACAATATATTTTCATGCAGGAGAACTGTGCATAATCGTCTTATCAACTTTTACTGATATGTGGATATGGCTTCTGTTGTTTAAGTTGAAATAGCGAAATCAATGACGGTTTTCTAATTACTTCCAACCATTGAATTACTTTGCTCAATCTGTAAATTTTTGCTTTAAGGCATCATTGTTGAGATGAAGTGAAAATGCGACATCCATTTCTAAAATAACAATCCTTGAACAGGGAAGGCGACAGATCGACATGCTAGTATACACCTCGTTTCGGGGTTTTATTTTCATGGGTTTTGAGTATTTAATTTTTTTTTTTTAAATGCCGTTGTAAAAAATTAAGTTGTGATTTAGAGACTTTTATCTACTTTTATCTGTTGGGATTTATTAAAACTAAAAGGTTGAATTCTAGCTATTATTAATGAAGGTTGTAGGCTTTTTGTGGGGCAGGAATGGGAGTAACAGATGGCCCTGAATCTTTTGTCTGTGATCAGACTCGGTGGGCACTGGGCAGTTCCAATGCCAATGGCTGCTGAGTTAGGTTGGATAAAGATGCGTTTGAATTGGACCATTCTCGAGAAATATCAAGTGGTCACTTGTCGTTTCTACCAATTTCTATTGCATTTTCCTTGACTTTTGTGTGTAGCTGAAGATGGTCATCATTATGAACCCCAAGTTGTGATAGGTGGATGCATACTGGAGGTTGACCTTCACTGTAAACGAAGTTGGTTAGAAGAGATCTGTCCATTTCATAATTGCACCGGTTCTGATTCTTGGGGGTTTTGCCCTTTTCAATCATTCTCTAATTGATTAGCCAAACAAAAAACAAAACATTCTTTCTCTAATTATCTTCTGTTGGGGATAAGGGCCCCTCGGCCCCTTCTCTTGACCAATGATCGGCACTGATCTTATTCTTACAATTTCCCGTTAACTCGTCCGACCAGAAAAGAATAATCCTCATGGTAAAGAGATGTTAGAGAAAATGCAGTGAATTTTAAAAGTGTATAATTTATTATTATTATTGTTATTACTATTATTGTTTTTATTTATCTTATGAATTATTACAGTGATTTAAAGTTGACGTAACTCTCACGTAATTGAAGTGGGAGATTTTTAACCTATTTTGAAAATATCTCTCATAAATTTTTGTGATCCACTTCGAAAATCGGACTGTACCTAAATCCCATTCATTTAAAGTGAGTATTTATAAACAAATTGATCCCGCGTTTTTCAAGCAAAAACAGTTTGATTCAGTATGAAACTGTAATCCTCAAAACCTTTTTAGTTGCGTCCCTGTTATCTTTTGTTTATCCCGTTAGGTTTTCCTTTGAAGTACATAAACTACGAGGCAAATGGTATTCTCAAATACACATCCCGAATCTGCTTTGCCTATTGGGCCTTCATTTGATATACATAAAACTATTAGGCTTTCAGCTTACTGCATGCTAAAATACACATTTAAGTTAGGTAGAGGAGTAGGAAAACGACAGCTTTGTATATATTTTTCAACGATGCCTTTATTTCGAGCCAAACCATTTACTTTGCATTTTTCTACAATCTTGTGTACTATTTTATATTAGGATTTCACTTTTGTGACACTTGAAACTCTTTGATGACCGCACGTAGTATGGATGCCGTGTCGAAACTCCAAGCGTCACACGGTAGAGGAAATGCTCCAATAATAATATGACATCAAACCGCCATGTGTTTCAAAAATGGAGATAGAGGACGTATTCTTTTTTCTTTCTTTACATTAATTATAATATAAACAATAATTGTTCTTTCAATTACTGTAATAGAGCTTCACCAGCAACATAGTTAAAAGACCTCATTTTGCATTCAAACCTACCATTTATTAAGTTTAGTAGACGTTTAATTCATAAATTTAAAATTATAATTTAAAATTATTTTTGTTTTATGTGTATTTTTTTTAAAAAAATATAATAAAAAAAAATCATGAATCATAGTTTAAAATTAGAGACGAAACCGAAGTGATTTAGAAAGATTCTTCTTTATCGATGGTGATCGGTCATGGTATCCATAGCGTTGCTTCTTTTTCGGCCAAATCCTAATTTCGTTTTGCTTCTCCCGGTCGTCGAGCCTGATCGACTCGACTCTTTTCCCTGCCCCCCGGCCTCTCACTTCGTTTCGTTCTTCTTCTGTATCGTCGCTTGAATGAAGACACCCGATCGGCCCGACTTTCCCAAATGCCCACCACCGGCCCTTCTCCTTTCGGGTCTGGATTTTTCGCAAACATCTCCTTAAAAACTGGAAACATCATGGAAACTGTCGAATTACTCCACACTAGCAAATAGGGTCTAAATGCTATCAATAAAATTACGTCAGGATTTCTTTAGGGGAAAACTATAACAAAATGAATAATTTACACTTGATAAGCTCAAATATGTGTCCTTTCAATTACTGTAACCCTTTTTGTGGGGGGTGGAATCAGTCATTGAAACTGGCATAACAGATAACATGATTCACTAATCATCAAATGTATCAAATAGAACCATGATGACAAACTTGACCCCTTTGCAACATCTCAGAAATTTGAAAACAACATGGCAATCATCAAATGGAAACAAGGCACACACACAAAATGAAAAAAAGAAAAAAAGAAAAAAAAAAAAAAAAAAAAAAAAAAAAAAAAGTAACAAATCTTGGCAATATATAGGAACATCATCATCCAGTGTAAATGTGAACACCAACAGCAATGAGGAGGATGGTGATGAGACCAAAAAAGATGACAGTGTGGACAAGGATGGAAAGCCCACTGGTATGCATGTTCCCAAACTCCACCACTCTGTTTCTCCCAGGGAACTGGATCAACAGCCCTGGACTCAACAGCACGAACAGCACCACCGCTATCACCACTGGGCCCCAATCCGCCATTGATCTCTCACTACTTCTGATCTCTCTCTCTCTTGAGTACTACAAACAAAATCTCTGATTATCAGAATTTCTCTGTCTAAGATTGATTAAAATGAAGCGCCAGATCATAAAGGGTATAAAAAGAGTGGTGAGATAAATATTAAAAGAAAAAAAAAAGTGTTACCGTGTTGAGGGTAGCCAAGTGAAGGAAGAAACGAATAATATGAGAAGCAGTATCAGTGTAGGAGAAGAAAGCTGATTCTTTCAAACATATATATGTATACGTGGTTATGTGTGTGTATTTATATGTATGTATATCACAGCCTTAATTTTTTGAAAAGAAAAAAATGAAGAACGTAGAAAAAAAAAGTTATTATATCCCGTTCATTTCACCGATTCTTGTTAAGAATAACGTAAAAAAGAAAAGTTATTATGTCATGTTCATTTTACCGATTCAAGTTTTGTTATAGTAAAAAACTCTAAAAAATAGTCACATCTAACTTTTTTACTACAGTAAAAAATTTTCACATAAAATTGCATCTCAACTCAAATTAAAAATTTGAATCAACAAACTACATGTGTGTCTCGATCTAAAAGCAACATATGGTGGGAGGCTTAGCGATAGTTTACATCCACTTTTAATAAGAAGTTCTCAAGTTTAAATGTTCAGCTTAAATTCAATGCATATGTAAATTAATATTAATGTAATAGCCATAATAATGTGCATGTATAAAAATATTTTTATTGATATATATGGTGTAATTTTAGACGTTTAAATTTTATCGATGTTCATTTTTTCTTTAGCTATGATGTAATATATAAATCCTTAATAATACTAATACTAAGTTGTTCAATATTAATGGAATTATTTTTGGATGATACCTTATCATGTAATATTCCTAATTATAATAACAGAGAAAGTATGTGGCATTATGGCACAGTGGGTGGCCTATGGAAGAATGACAAAATGCATGACACGTGGCAGCATCAGAAGGTGAGTTATTCGAACAAGTTACCATTTCCTTAATGGAGACGCCATTTTAATCTTCATAATTATTTGTAAATCCAGAGTCTCTTTTATTTGTTCTTTGCACAGGTCACTATGTTCCAGTGGCAGTGTTTCTTTTTTTCCTAGCAATGAAAAATATTCTAGATATCTTTCCAGCGTAAATAATGCAATTTGAAGGGGGAAAGATCTTTCGCAGTGATTAAGCAGAATTTACAGCAAAAAATAAAATGACAAAGAAAGAGATACGAATCATATGATTGTGACTAAAATGCCGTGGAATATTCTTACAGCAAACTGTAAATAGACCAAGAAATAAGAATGGTAGATTATTGTTGTTTTCTTTATACAATCATTTTATGTATTATGTTACAAAGAGAAATTTGTAGCATTTATAGTAATATTTTGCAATTCGAGACCGTATATATATAAATCTAGCGAAGATTGTTTCTTTAATTATTTTAGGATGCTTACATTTCACATTAAAGGAGACAAATACTACGAGTCTAGAATTTCTCATTTTTTTTATTAATATATATTTTTTTAGTTAAATAATTATATTAATAAAAAAGATATTAATTAACAATACGTGGACGTTTGGTTCATAAATTCAAAACTATAATTTAGAATTATTCTCATTTTATATGTGTTTTTTGTGAGAAAAAAATACTGTAAAAAACCATGAATCATGATTCAAAATCAAAGACAAATACTAGAAACAAACATTATACACTCTTAAAAAATAAATTTAGTAATTCTCTGTTTTTTTTTCTTGCTTTTTTATTACTTGATGTGGTGGAGCACAAAGGCCCAAAATCAAATCAAGAGTGTGTTGCTTTCTCAAATTCCAATAAGAAGATGATTCTGATCCAGCCCAATATATACCGTTCATTTTGGGGGTGCATCCAATTAAGGAATATATAGTCCGACCATAGGAGGTGCCCACTGCCCATATTGAAGGATCAATATCTTTTTCTTTTTTTTTTTCTTTTTTTTTTTTAATAAATGAACGTCAACATCATTTAACTACAACTGAAAATAATATGGAATATTTCCTTGTCCGATGAATTTATAAAATCTCTGACAAAGTTGTTCTTTTTCTGTGTTCTTTTTAACTTTGTAGGTAATTTTATAAGGAGTTTTTTTACGGTGTTGAATGTTCTATTGGAGCGCAAGTTTTTAAACGTTAGATTTAGTCCAAATTTAATACTGGTTTAAAGTAGAGTCGTGTCAATAAGATATGTTTTTGTTCATATCCTGTCATGAAAAACTTTGAACTGCGGTTTCTTCTTACGAACATGTTGTCTTGGTTCATTAGAAAGCCTTCTACACTTTTATGAATATTGTAAATGCACAAGAATTTTAGAAAATTAAAATCATCATATTATCCCATAATTTTTTTTTTCTTTTGTTCCTAACAAGTTATATTTTAATTTCATCATGAAGCAGAAAACTTATTATCCATATCATTTTCGTTGCTCAACATGTAACAAGAAAGTCGCTAGCTGTAGTTAATAAACCAGGACAAAAATTAAAGAAGATGCTGATTGAATAACATTTTTCATTTCTTATAGAAAATAGGATACCAATTACGCCAAAATTTGAATGAATTACGTCCACAGCTTCACCAGCTAGCTAAGCCAATGGTTTATCCATTTACGAGCTAAGCCAATGAGTGACGATTCACAAAACTTTGATGAAGAAATTACTTATTCCATCCGAGAGGCAAAGAAAATGCACTTCTATGTTCTAATTCATGTTTTTTTTTTTTTTTAAATGGAAGTCCTAATTGAATATGTTAAACAAGAAAATACGTGCTTGTAGAATTAGCCTAATGGTAATGTTGAATTCTAATTATGATATGAAATTATCATTATTTGTACTATCAATATTATCATCATAATTATTACTTATTATCAACGATGTTAATATTTAAGGGCCCGTTCACTTCGCTGATTTGAGTTTGTAATTCGAGTTGAAATGTGATTTTGTGTGAGAGCTTTTTACTGTAGCAAAAAAATTAAATGTGACTGTTTCTGAGAGCTTTTTACTGTAACAAAACTCAAATTCTAAACTCAAATCGACGAAATAAACATGACCTAAATATATATATCAATTATACTCATTGAGAATAAATAACTAAAGCTGTTAAGTCGTTAAACCGAAACAAGTGTACTATCCTTTCAACTAATTTCCCCCTCTTTTTTGCTTTTTGTTTGTGTTTTTTTAATTTGATTTGATGTGAGAACCCCATCATCGCATATATATTCTGGGGATGATCAGTAAACAAAAACCGAATCAGACGCAACAAAATAAAAGCTGGGAATTTGAATCACTCGGGGGATATTTGGTTGAAAAATTCAAACCATAATTTGAATCATGGTTCATGGTTCATTACAGTATTTTCTTTTATAAAAAATACACGTAAATTAAAAATAATTCTAATCACATAATTCTAATTTATGAACTAAACGTCTCCTTATCCAAACAATTTCTCAAATATTATTATTCCAAAACAGTTGGACAATTACAAAACGATCCCATTTGTAGTCCCCCAAAAAAAAAAAAAAAACTACTATTGCAAACATCATGAGTAGTGCTAGTAGCCTACTACAACAGTAGGAGTAGTACTACTACTACTCTTTGACCACTTTTTAATTATTCAAGAAATGTATAAATGAACCTTGATGGCAAGCAAAAAGATGCAAATGAGACCAAAGTAGAGAAGAGAGTGAATCATAATGGAAGCACCACTTGTCTGAAAGTTACCAAACTCCACACATCCATGGCGTCCTGGTAGCTGGAATAGCAGCCCGGGAGTTAGCAGCACAAACAGCACAACCGCCACAAACACTGGGCCCCAGTCCGACATAATTAATGTCACTACAGATAATATGTATATGTCAAAGTGTGAATTTGCTATGGGTGGGGTTTTGGAGTAGTAGTACTAGTAGGGGGTTGGAGATCGTCTGTTTATATACATGTATATATGTATTGTAATGTATATAGCTATGGAGGAGACTTTGGTGGGAAGGAAAGAAAGAGGAGAGAGAGAGAGAGAGAGGAGTGTGGGGCGGAGGCTTGGGAAGAGAAGTCACTTGGATTCACTCTCTGCCACATACCATTTGTATATTTGTTTCTGGCATACATTGTGGTAGATGGGGGTTTGGCATAACTTGCTGGTCATGCCACTTTCTTTCTTTTTGTTTTTTGTTTTTTTTTTGTTTTTAATGTTGTGCCAGCCCTACCACATGAAAGATGTTATATAGCAACGGCTTCTAGTCCCACCAGACACGAACTTATAGAGCTAGGACTTAGTAGTGTTGAATAATGTTACTCTCCTTACGAATAAGTTTCGTGAACGTTTAGTTTATGAATTCATAATCATGATTTAAAATTATTTTTGATTTATGTATATATTTTGTGTAAAAAAATACTGTAACGAATGATTCAAATCATGACACGACTATATCAACTAAACGATGATCGTTTTTTACTTTTAACTACCAAATTAGGATGAATGATGCTTGAACGAATACTAGGTCCATTGTGTCTAGTACTACAACTAATAGAATGCGAACTCGAAACTACTGTACTTGTGGACTCCATAACTATTAACTAATAAGAGCTTGCATTCATAGGAGGTGTGGGATAGTGTGCAGTGACAATAAACTACAACATCGTGGGAGAAGCCCAAGTTTTAGTACAATGGGCTGGGCCAACACAAACCCGACATTCTAGCCTCTCCTTTGTTATGACCTTTCTTTCAATGAGAACTACATTCTAGCCTCTCCTTTGTTATGACCTTTCTATCAATGAGAACTACATTTTGCAATGAAATTCTAGGAACTAATTTTTGTTTGTAAAAAATGCCATCCCTCTTAACAATATTCTATATTATATGGTCTACAACCTATATCTTAAAATGGAACTATGGGATCAGGATATATAGGAATATATACATATAATCTTTCAACGTGCAAATGATTTATACGTGCTTCTTCAAAAATAAAGGAATAATTTGGAGTTTAATTCTCCAAACACATAATTTTCATCTTCATGGGGTCAATACATAACTTCCAACCTTGTTGAAATAAAGACATAGTCGTTGAGTTCCTTTTTCTTTTTTCTTTTTTTCCTTCCCAACTCCATGACATAAACAGAAAGTGATTTTTGGCCAATTAAAATATGGTACGATCGCCAATTATAAACTATTGGTGAGAAAAAAGGAGCTACAATGATATATGATAAA